TGTCTTTTTTTCCTTTGGGTAAATACCCAGTAGTGGGATTGCTGGATCAAATGGCAGGTCTACTTTTAGTTCTTTGAGGTATCTCCATACTGCTTTCCATAGAGGTTGTACTAGTTTGCAGTCCCACCAACAGTGTGTAAGTAAGTGTTCCTTTCTCTCCACATTCATGCCAGCATTTGTTGTTTTGGGACTTTTTGATAAAAGCCATTCTCACTGGAGTTAGGTGATATGGATCTCATTGTGGTTTTGATTTGCATTTCCCTGATGATTAGAGATGTTGAACACTTTTTAATATGTTTATTGGCCATTAGTGTGTTTTCTTTTGAAAAGCTTCTGTTCATGTCTTTGCCCACTTTTTAATGGGGTTGTTTGATTTTTTTTCTTGCTGATTCGCTTGAGTTCTTTGTAAATTCTGGTTATTAGCCCTTTGTCAAATGTGTAGCATGCAAATATTTTCTCCCATTCTGTTGGTTTTCTATTCGCTCTACTGATTGTTTCCTTGGCTGTGCAGAAGTTTTTTAATTTGATCAGGTTCCATTTATTTATTTTTCTTGCTGCTGTGATTGCTTTGGGAGTCTTCTTCATATAATCTTTGCCTAGGCTGATGTCCATAAGAATTTTTCCAACCTCTTCTTCTAGAATTGTTATAGTTTCATGCCTTAGGTTTAATGCTCTTATCCATCCTGAGTTGATTTTTGTGAGTGGTGAGAGGCACGGATCCTGTTTCAGTCTTCTACATGTGGCTTTCCAATTTTCCCAGCACCATTTATTTAATAAGGATTCTTTTCCCTAGTGTATGTTTTTGTCTGCTTTGTCAAAGACTAGATGGCTATATGATGATGGTTTTATATCTGGGTTCTGTATTCTGGTCCATTGGTCTGTTCTTGTACCAGTTACATTTTATACTCAAGAAAACTCTCAAAAGAGTAACTCTCAAAGAGGTGACTTAAAATTCCAACTTTATAGCATTTTCTCCAGCTTTATAGCATTTTCAATAAGGAATAATACAGTTTTAGAAAAGTGACAAGACAAAGGAAAAGGACCTTGATTCTTCAGGTGCAGCAAATTGTGGGAAGGCAAATGCATGAGAAACTAATGGTAGAGTCAGTCTCATTAGTTATGTTTATGTAGATTCCTTGGGTGCCCTCTCCAGGCTGGTAAGAGTCTAAAGTCCTCTCCTAGTACAGAGGGGAGGAGGGACACCTCTGTAAATTTGTGTCCTGCTTTTAGGCAAATAGGGGAGGGCAGAGAGTTTTTCTTGTATCTACTTCTTTCCAATGACCTTCAGCTCACAATAGTCCTTATGCCAACATAGCATGTTCTGCTACCCTTCAGCTGTGAATGAAATACATCCTAACATGCATACACATGCCATAACAGGTTAGTGATAATAACAATAATCTGCCAGAAAGGGGGGACCAGCTGAGAAGGGATGGCCTGCTGTGAGAGCCACCAGTGTTTAGATTTGAACTTGCTCCTGAGGGATGAATTTGTATTGAAGAATAGCAGAAAAGGCCTTCCAAGCAGAATGGGCATTGGTGTGCAGGAATGTATCTCTTTGGACAGTAGTTTAGTTCTTTGATCTGAACATAAAGTACAAAGGGGGAAAAGAATATTGGGAGAGAAGGCTGGTCAGGGAATAGGCTTTTGAAGACCTGCTATGTCAAAAATTTTGAATCTATTCTTTAGATAGTAAGAGACTACCAGAACTTTTTGAATATGGAAACAACATGATCAGATTTGTGTTTTAGAATATTCCTGATGGCAATAAGGAGAAAGCACTTAAGTGCAGAGAGACCAGGGCCAGAAGATAGCGAGGGAGACCCGCTCCGTGCTTTCATCCTCCTGGCAGTCATCCTTTTGGTTGTCCCTGTCTCTTATTTTTTAGGGTTCTTATTTATTTCTGTAGGTTTTCTTTTCTTTTCTTACAAGGTACATGGGTATTTTTAATGTTTTACAGGTTTTCCATTGCGTTTGTGTAATAGAATCGGATACGGTTGCTTTTAGTTTAATCATGCCCTGCCTTCAATGTTGACACTGACTTTCCATCCTAATACTTGTGACATCTTGTCTCTATTATTCTGTCATTCAAAATCTATTCCTTTTTGTTGTCAGATCGAATTGTAAGAATTGGTCATGCTCTTTTTGTAGATGTTTTAATTATTACTTTTGCAGGTAAAATTGTCTTTCCTCCAAAACTTATCACCTGTAATTCTCCTCCCGTTCTTTCTCTTGGGCCGTCTTAAGGTTCAGAATTCTATTAATATAAGATTACGAATGGTAGGAGTTAAAGGTGTTTCTCTGCATCTTATAAAATTATTTAAAATTTTCATCAGAGTCTGTAGTAGAGGATTTTATTACCCTAGTTTTCTTGGGGGTGAGGTGGTTCACTGTGTTTATCATTATTTGCCTATACTCATTAGAAGTTCAGGGACATGTGGAGAAAATCATGCTACTAATCAGTTTTCTTCTTTTCCACTCATTCTGTACTTTATTATTTTCTAGTTAATGCTTTGTAATGAAACAGATCAGAAAAACTGGCGGGTGTGAGGTAGGCGGTAATGGAGGCTGGAGTTCTAGGTGGGGATGATAAGAGTTGGAGGAGGGTGGGGATTACGCAGCAGCATTGCGGTGGAGCAAGCTGGGTTCGGAGTTCAGTAAAAGCGGTCTCAGCCAGGTACAGCAGCGTAATCAGAGAGATAAGGCGGAGGTTGGCATCAGTTCAGTTCAGTAAAACTTGATCAAGTCCATCCTGTGCACCCAGCAATGAGCCAGGCTCCAGAGATACAGAGGTAAATCAGGAACCCCCTGAGGGTTGTGCAGTTTAGTGGGATCACAAACACCAACCAAAGCCTGGACGTAGAATCAGAATCAGTTACAGAGAGATGAAGCAATAGCTGTAGAGTCTTGGAAGTTCTTAGGACTCAGCTAAGCAGATGCAATTAGGGGTAATGGAGCGTGACTATAAACAGGCTGCACCTCCAGAAACAGAGTCATTAGGAAGTGCGGGGGCAACAGCAGGTGAGTTTGCTTTGTAACAGTGAGTCACTTTCTTTGTGCATCTGTCCATACTGGCGTTGGTTTGTGCCCACGCCTGGGAACTTGAGTCCTCAAGTAGGAAGCAAAAGTGTAGGGGCTAGACCTACCCTGTCAGAAACTCTGGGTCTGGGGCCTAAAGATCTTTGTTTTAACCATCCCTACCAGTGGTTCTCATGCTAACGTTTGAGAAATTCTAGAAAAGTGTTTCTTCCAACCTTTCTTTTCTTCAGGGGGAGGAGTGTGACGTCATACTGTCAGGACTACTTCTTACTCCCTCCCTCTCTTCCACACCACTGTATTCACAGCTTTTGGGTTTTAAAAAGATTAAGGCTGATAATATCTCTATGTTAAGGTAAAGGTTAAAGGAAACTTGACTATTAACATAAAGCAGTTTCATCAGGATATTTTAGATACTGTGGAGTATCTTAGATTCTCTATCTAGTTCTTTATCTTTCAGTAAATAATTTCTCAAGCACTGCCATCCAAAGTGAATAAAAAAAAATTCTTGTTTGGTAGCATTTAATTTAATTACTGATATTGTACCAGACATCGCCTTAGCAGTTTTTCATTGCATTACACATTAAGTAGTCTCTTGTGTTCTTGCCTACGAAGGTAATTGCCATTTATAATATTCTTCCCACTAGAAAACACATTCTTAATTCCAAACAGATGACTTGTAATTAACTTACGGTACACAACTTGTAAGCTGAAAGAGTCCTATATGTAAACTCAGTAGGATATAAAGATATTTGGCAGGAATAATGTTTGCTAGTTGCTTATGGATACAGACACTTTTTCTTATGGGGCCTTAAATCATTCATTTGAATTGTGCCTCTCACTCAACAGCCACACATAAAGTATTTTTGTAATTGTACCGTGCCTTTGCCTTTAGTTTATAGATAATTTGAATCAGGAAGACTAAGTGGCTTTCTGAGGAATAAACTATCAGAAGTAGGTGAAACCAGGCCTATCAATTTCCCTTTTGCTTTATCAACAAATTTAAGCTGATTCTCAATCCAAATAAAAACCCGTTATCAATATCTGAATACCATTCAAAGTAGGTACAGCTATAATGAAATTGTTTCCTAGAGAATCAATGGTAATTACACCATTTAAAGCTCAGAACTGAGACAAGATAATAAATAGAGCCCAGACATGCTTGTTTAAGCAACAGTTTACAAGATGATGCCTAATTTTCTTAAACAGTAAAACCCAGAAATAAAAGGAAAATCAGCTGGAATTAAAACAAAAGTCCCACATGATTAAATGCTTAGGGGCTGCAGCACAACAAGCACAGGTAAAGGTTTATATTGCTTAAGATTCTTTTATCAAAAGTTGCCATAAGAGAGGGAAAACAGAGCTATGAAATCAGTCAACACCAGGGTTGCCTAAGGTCGTGTATTAGTCAGGGTTCTCCAGGGAGTAAACCTGTGGGGTCTATGAGAGGGGATTTATTTATTTATTTGTTTATTTAGAGACAGAGTCTCACTCTGTTGCCCAGGCTGGAGGGCCGTGGCGTCAGCCTAGCTCACAGCAACCTCAAACTCCTG